GGGGGTTCACTCTCTGTGCACGTCGGTAACGATCCCAGAACTTCTGCAGGACGAGGGCAAACCTCAGCACGAGTAGCCTGGGCGCACCTTCAGGCGAATGCAGAAACTGCATTTATCCCACTACAGGTCCATACGCCTGTAGGCCTATAAGCATTAAGGCTATGCTGAAAAACTAAAGATGGCTGTCTTGTTTTTTATTACGCCGTTCATCGCTCTGATAATGGAGGCAGCAAGCACTTTCAAAACATCGACAGAGCAACAACCCTTAAGACAACCATTTTTTGTAATCGCTGCCGTGATAACCTGAAATTTCAACTGATGTGTAAACTGAATGATTACTTGGACGTAATGTTAAGATCTACTGAGTGTTAAGTTCGCCTGCTCTCATATTCAGATGTTGGACAAGGTACCATGATTTATTTCCTTCGAATCGAAGGTTCTTTATTAGTTTGTACTTAAAAAATGTCCCAAGAAGATTTATACACACAAGGTTAATATTCCGTATTATGTGTATAATTTTGGGGGAGACATTCTATATGTACATTCATTTAACACGCTAATGACAATCGGGTCTTCGCTGCAAAATTTACCGCGAGTGATTTATTTCAAATCCTTTTCTGGTGGTGTTTGATGTTTCGCTTCGCGAGCACTCCTGTAGTTGCTGGCCATCGGTTGGAAATCCCTGTTCTATAAAGAACTGAATCTTATTTCCGGTTCCTCTTTTCTGAGGGCTTTTCACTTTGGAAACTTTCATTAACGCGAAGCCGGACAGTTGTACTTAATTCAACACCGTAGCTGTCGGCGTCAGTTCCCCGGCTCCTACGTGCTCGGCTAATTTGAAGGCCAAGTTGAAGACTCCATGAAGATGGATGGTTAAGGATCTTAGCGACACCATCCGTCTTGTGGGTGTAGTCTCTCTCAGATTTGTTCGCCATTTAATTGTTTCTTCTGCTCTGTCCAGGAAAAGGCGTCCATCCGCTGCTTGGGATTTTCTCGAGGGATTTTTTTAACATTGAACTTTTCCGTTCAGAAATAGGCCTATAGGAAACTTACGTACAGACTCAGACGTCACTAACATCTGATTTGGTTTTCTAAGATTGATGTATGAGGAATTAGTGTAGAGCAGAAACTGGAATTTCGGTTATTAAGAGTGCGTGGTCGAATTACGACGAAATGTTCTTCGTAAATTTCTCAGAGACAGTTTCCTTCGCCACATTCTTTGTATGTTTTTACTAGCGAAAATGGCCCATTGAAATTCGAAGGAAGAAATATTGCTTTCTAACTTCGTCTCCTACCTCCTTTATTTTATCGCTACTTTTAAGTCATTTCCTGTCCTTCTGTTTCCTGCATTCCTTCCCAGTCCTTTTCAAATTGAAATAACAATTAAAAATATAAACCGAACAAAGTTTCTATAACCTACATTAAAATATTTCTAAAAACTGCTTAATATAACAGCAATTCTAAGTTGTAACGTTCTGACATCTAACAAACATCAAACTACGTTTATATATTTCAATTAGTTTAATTCGTTTACAGTTTATATTATTCAAATACCACGGTGCAATTATAAGGCCTTACAAATAGATAGGCATGTTAATTTAAGTCGTTTTTACGTGCAACCAAAAATGAAATTTTCAATAGTAGTACTTTTGTCCCCGTTTGCACGCCTATCCTCCCAAATTTTATTTTTATTAATTTCTTCTGCCTGTAATGTTGTACTCATGCCATTAAACGCCATATACACACACGCACACACTTACAGTGTCGTAAAATTAGAAAAGAATTACTCAGCAACTTTTGTGTAGTTGAACACTGTCCTAATCTAAACTCTTCAAATATTGTGATGAAATCTGAGGTTAAATAAGTATGGAAATGCATCGTCTGAACGTTTCTGCTCCTCTGCTTGACTGCTTTATCAATATACTATTGAATCTTATCTGTTGATTTATAATACAATAGATAAAATCGAAACTTGTTTCAGGCAGCCGGTAAGAGTCAACATGGTACAAGCCACGTACACAGTAGTATCTTCTTTAGTCGTACAATTATATTATGAATGTCTTCTGTAAAGCAACTGTAATATATAAATAGTATATGCCATTAAATGCAGACCAGGAAATAAATAAAGTTCAATTGTTTTGGGGTCCGCAGTGGCCGCGCATTCGCTGGGACCGTGGGTTCGAATCCCACTCAAGCCATGGATGTTTGTCCGCGTTTTTCTGTGTTGTGCTGTCCTGTGCACAGGTAGAGGCCTTGCGACGGGCCGATCCCTCGCCCAAGGAGCCCTATCGAATGTCTATAGATCAAAGCCAACGAAAGTTGGGACCCGCAGTGCTCAGGCACTTGAAGAACGGGTCGTTCCCAGTATCCAGTTAATTGTTTTATCTATATTAATAGTTTAAAGTAGAATTCATTTAAAATTTCGTAAGTGCAGCAAATATTTGATTTTTTATTCTGGTGTATGTTTGAAAAATTGGTATTGAAACTGATAGTTGCTTTTATACTTTAATATATGGTGATAAAAATAAGTTACGTTGTCTGTGCTCGTGGGCTGCTTCAAAGGGTTTAAAGTCACAAGTATGGAGACAGTGCGTAACTGTTAGGTTATCAGAAAACGAAGTCAGTTATACGGATGATATCCACTGCGTAGTTAGTTTAGCATTTATGGTAGCCTGTGTGTACAGGTAAAGGTAAAGTTGTCCCTGTGTTTAAGTGTACGTATAGTTACAC